GTCATACGATTTTTGAATCAAGCATGGGCAACGCCGGACCATGCTGATAGTATGACAATAAGCAACGAGTAATATTGTCTGGCGTTTGTGCTAAAAATTCTACAGTTCTTCGATGTTTACCAGATAATAGACCGAGAAAACATTTTGACTAGCTACGTCAGTGTATGGAATGTCACATTCACGGAGTCCCCCCACCAACCGCCAGTGAAATTCACGAGCGTTTTATGTGATACAAAGGGCAATGTAACTATCACCCAGTATGTCGCTGCGCTTAGAAAAATGTCGAATTTTGAGGACCAACTTAATAAACATGTGCGGAAAGAACGAAAGCCTTGAGTAGGGGTTTACACTCTGAGAGAACACGAATGTTAGAGAAAACCCCTTGAAATATCTGTAGCAGTTGTATCAACCACGAAATTTCCAAAGGACAGGCAAAGTTAGCAAGGCCCATCTGAGAATTAATCCAACAGTTTTATTCATCAATTGTCAGAGAAACGTGAATGCTACTGCCATCCACCATCTGTCGAGCTTAATAAAATCTTTTCAAAATGGGTTTCAGATGCAAACGTGTTAGAAATACTTGTCGAATGTGTAGACAGGCAATCGAATAGAAAGATGAATTTTTTTTTAAAGCTCCGAGCAAGGCAGTAAAGCCACTAAGACACAAGATGTTACTGGGTGTGGAAGAATTAGAAAACAGACACATTTCTAAGGAACGAGAACAAAAAGAGTAATCAGGAGGACAGCAGATAGCGATTGACATTGCATTTAAATTTTTGAAAATTAAAGTTGACTGGAAAGCATGGAAACGAAAGAGTTACCCAGGCGAGAGAAGAAACTGTCCGCATAGAACTTACGGTTACATCTAGCCAACTCAGTTTTTTAAATCGATGAGACCTTTTTCCATTCTAGTACTTCGCTTAAATTCATGAAGTCTAGGTACCATAGCGAAGAACTCACCGAAAAATTGCCATGAAAGTATTTCTAGAAAAGGGTACAGGGAGACAACTTTACGGTCGTGGGTAAGTGACTGGTGCCGAACCGCCAGATCAGGACTAATAATATTGCAGATTCACATATATATATATATATATATATATATATATATGTGTGTGTGTGTCAGTAGCACCGGACCGCAATATTGTAAGCATGGGCAAATGTAAGATAAATAATATTATTGGTTGTTTCGATCAAGCTATGAGTTGAGTTTATTGAGATTATTATCCAATCGCTTATCCAATTTGTTGACCATTCTTGATCTACTGAATCATTCAAGAGAAACGGAAAACGGAGGAATCAAAAAGGTTTTTCAATATACTGGTCTGTCTGTGTTATTAGTAATAACTGGTTATATTTTATCAACGAACAGGTTACATTTTTTATAATGTTCAATGAAATTTGGCACATATTTATAGCTCCGTAACAGATAGCCACACTGTCCAATTTGCCCATTCGAAGAAGCGATAAATTTAAAAAAAAAAAAAAAAAAAGACATTTTCAAATTTGTATCAATTGTTTTTGGTTTTGCTCAGAATTATTACACGATTGAACATCCAGGCTTCTCCAGCTTAATTTTTTTTTTTCAAATATCATTTATGAACTGAACGTTTTACCTGTGTGCTATGACTCTCGCTGTCCTTTGTAGCTCTTAGTAAATTTTGTCTTTTTTGCTATCTCTCCTATACACTGTTCTGCCATCGATTTACACAAGCTCGTTAGGTAGGTTATGCGTTGTTTTCCTCTGTGAGTGTTAAATTTTCCAAGCCCTCTTTCCTCATTATGTTCCCGAGAAATTTCAACTCTTTCTGGCGTTAAGTATAAATGTCCTTTTTGGTTCCATTTTCTCTTAAACTTCGTCGTTGCTACGGAAACGAAAAAAAAAAAAACAAATTCAGAGGTCAGTTTGAAATTAAACGTTTTTGTCGTTCGTTCCACTTCCTGCATGCATTTAGAATTGAGGATAGTCTTGGAGCTGGTGAATAGTTGCGGCTGTAAATTGTTGAGTCGGGGTTGGGGAAGCGTGATGACCCTAATTAAAATATCAATCTTTCATCCAAGGCCTCTGATTTGAGGTTTGAGGAGTGTGGAACCTCCTCTTAATTGCTGGTGTTCCCAGGTCCACTCTGACCCGGCGTGGTAGCACCCTATTAGAGTCCCAGCTATGGGTAAATAGTTGACCCCCAAACAGGGGTCAAAACGCTGTGGAGGTGTAAAAATATGTATTAATACCAGCAATACATTTTTGAGGGGAAGATTATTCCCAGAAATACATTTACGAGAATTTGTTTTTTTTTTTTACCAGCAATACTTTTATGAAGGAAAAATTAACAGTAATGCATTTTTTTTTTGAAGAAGAAAAGTTTCAACAATACATTTTAAAGGAAAATTATTACAAACAAAGCAATATATTTTGAAGAAAGTTATGAGAGAGAGAGAGAGAAAAAAAGCAATATAGTTTTGAGAGAAGGAAAAAAATTATTATCGGAGATACAATTTTAAAGAGAAAAAAATTATTACAAACAAAATATTACCTGCAGTAGATTTTTGAGAGAGAGAGAAAAGAAATTACTTGCAGTAGATTTTGTTTTTAAAATAAAATAATACCAGTAATCAATTTTGTCAGCATTAAATAAGCTATTGAGGTTGATATACCGTAAAACAAACCAAACCAAATTAGCTGTGGTGTCGGTGCTTGATGTTCCCGTTTTAACCTTCTTGTGTTTATTTTTTTTCTTCTTTTTTACGATGATGTTCGCCCTGTATAAGGCTCAAGAGACACCCGAGCCAGAGAGTTACAGAGTAAGAGTTACAGTTCATGAGGATATATGTGGAAGGTAACGGTTAACCCTAGACTTGAACAGGGAAACATCCTCTTGGGAGTCGGTTTCACAAAGCAGCAATTCGTGGGAAGAAGTTGCACAAGTAGAACTTCCACCTCACCAATGGAATACGAAGGAAATGAGGGTGATTTGCTACACTGGGCGTGGCATGGCGAGTCTTAACCGTAAAGGTTAGAGTTCATCTGAACATTCTCCATATAAATAGCGGTAAAGTAGCAAGAGGCTTGCAACGTTTCATCTGTGAGAAAGTCGATGTAGGGTGGCAAAATAGTTCACCACCCACAAGGCTGCGTCGACGCTTTGGGACTCTATTGAGACATGAAAGTGAAGACTTGGCAGTTCCTGTCTGTGTATAGCAGTATTACCCCATTTTCGGTCTAATCAGGCTCTTGTAAAAGTAGAGCAACAGGACGAGTCGGCTACTTAATGAAGCGCTAAAGTAGCTTAAATGTCGATTCCTACCGATTTTTCTGCCAAGTGATACCAAAGTTTCTTCTCCAACTCCGATATATTGGAAACACCTGCCGTTTCTGAAGTACGTAGGTTCAGCCCACCTGGTGTGACGACTTGTGGGAGCTACTAAGTAATAAGATGAGGTGTTGTGTTACAGATGAACTTGTTGGCTTCTGAGTAAGATAGTTATCTGTCCTTAGCTTTGTTAGGACCCGCCCGGTGAGGAAACTTGCTTATCATGATAATGTTTCCAGAAAGTGGGGCAACATCTACCAAGACGGACCATTCTCGGCTATTCTTTCGCTGCCTAAAATTAAGTTTTATCGACAAGATAAATCGTTTTTGAAACGATACAGAAGATTTAAGATTTCAAAATGGAAGTAGACATATACACAGATGAACCGATAAATAAATATGACACATCATTTTTGTCTGAATTTCTGGGATAAGGAGTCATCACTATTTACACACACACATCCATATATATATATATATATATGGACTATTCTCCTCATCGTTGTTATCACAATATTTCGGCTTTCCTCAGGCAATTCTGAACTGAACACTTTATTTAATCTACGGGGATAGACTGTTCTTGCTCCACTGATCATGTCTAAGGATATCTTGCCTAGTTCTTATTTTATTTAATACTATTCAGTTATTGCTCACCCGTTTCCACTGAGTGCAAGTACACACTACCCGACCCAGGAATTGAACTCAAAACTACTGTCACCAAATTCGCAAACCAACGCTTTTATCCACTAGGCCATTGTCCCGTGGATAGATCGATATACACCCGGGGAAGGCTGGAGTTTACAACGGCCCAAATGTTGTGATAACAAGAACAAAAATGACAATAATCCAAATATTTTTTTCTTTTTTTTATGTGTCATGTCCTTTCAGGACGTAGGCGATCATGGCTCTCCATCTCCCTATATCCCTTGCAGCTCTCAACAAGTCCCTTCCCCTGCCACCCCCCCCAAAAGACCACGTTCTGTCATCCACTTGCTTAAACCCGTCAGGTATGTCACACGTTGTTTTCTTCCTGATGTTAATTATAAGCCTCCTCTTGTTTGCAACCTCTCTAAGATCTCATCGTTGTTCATACGCTCGGTCCATCATATCATTAGCATCCTTCTGTAGAACCACATCTCCGTCGCCTCGGGTCTCTTCTTCATCTTTGAGGAAATCGTCCAATATTCGCTGCCGTAAAGAAGGACAGATGTCACGTAACAGTTCAGTATTTTCTTTTCTTACCAAAGAAATTCTCCTGTCTCGCAATACTCTGCCCAGCTTTTAGAATGCGTCCTTGCCCATCCCAATACGCCTACGGATCTCAGTGTCGCACTTACCGTCCTCTGTCAAGACGCTTCCCAGATCTTTAAACTTCCGCGTCGGCTTGATTCTAGTGTTTCCGACCTTCAAATCACATTTCGGGCTCATCCTTTTACTGAAACAGTACAAATAACGGACGCACCTATATATTTTTACCCGGACACACGTTGCAAGATCATCACATTTTATCAATGTAAAAGGCAGTTTTACAAATTTGAAAAAAAAAAAAAAAAAGTAAGGGGTGGAAAAGACCTAGTCTGGGTGTTTTGGGAATACATAATTTCACTAGAGGAACTACAAGGGGATAGATTTTAAAGATAGGCGTGTCCAAATACGGAGACACACCCGTCAAAAGACGGACAATTAAGAAGCTTACGGTCGTATCACGTTGAAACATTGGTTCCCGTACGGTCACCGAAGTGAAGAAACGTCGAGCCTGGTTAGTGCCTAGATGGGTGACTTCTTGGGAATACCATGTGCTGTAAGCTTGGGTGCGTGGGTGGTGGCATGTATAACGGCTCGGAATTGGAAATCGGAGAACCGAGTTCCAGTTCCTGACGGGTTCATTATATTCAATTATGCGCAAATATGCTAAGGAAATGCATGAATCTCCCACTTCTCCCGTCTATGGGTTAATTAGTGAGACTTGTATCAGTAAATAAGTATCAACTGCAAACAATTCGTACGATCTAAAATTGTTTTATGGCTTTAAATAACTTTCAAAAGTTTGATAAACTGTAATAAATGAGCATTGAAAATTAAATCTTTACTTTAGTGGATGCAAACAAGGTATTTTTCGAAGTATTAAAAATGGCTGCATTGAAAAAGATCAGATTACTTTTTGCATGGGACATGAGAAAGATTGAAAATTGTGACACTGGCTGGCGTATGACGTAGGCAATAAAATGTGGGAGATGTTTGTCTCAAAGAAACAACAACAACAAAAAAAATAATTGAAAGAGTAAAACTAAGATTGACAAATCGAGGTTTTTGGGGGACATCTTGCCCTGAGTTAAACAAGCAGTGGGTGATGTGTCCTAATCAATATCTTTGACCTTGGTGATGACACCAGATCTCTTCAAAAGCTTATGTCTCGTTTACCACCGGTTTTCTCTTTTTCATGGCCAACACATTCATTTCTTCTACCCACTTCCCCCCCCACCCCAGAAAAAAAAGAAGTTTCTCTGCATCTTGTTTAATCCGCGCAAATAACAGAAATCTCTCATTGATCATAGCATTTTAGGTTTGTTTTATATATATATATATATATATATATTATTATTATTATTATACTTGTGTGCGTGTGTATGCTGTTTATATGCACTTGGGCATGATGGCATTAACGCCAGTCTTGTGTAAATCCTGTTTGCAATCTTTGTGCTTATCAAATTGATGCAAGAAACACAAGTGGCTTTTGTTGAGAATCCCTCTTCAAAGCCAGAGAAATTGCTGCTAGTATCTGTTTATCAAATTCTGATCTTTCTTCTACTGTATGCATCTATGTGTACAAAAACACACTCTCTATATATATAAAACACATATATATATATATATATATATATATATATAATAATTTAAAAAAAAAAAAATGATTCCTTCGCTACATAAGAGTTCTCATGTTTCAAAAACAAGACCCAAAAACCTCAATATAATTATTAAAATTAAATTGAATTAAAGTATCAGGCCCTGTTTCATGCCCAAGCGAAAATTTAGGCTATTTTTTTTTTTTTTTTTTTTTTTTTTTTTTTTTTAACAAGAGAATTCTTATGTAGCGAAGGAATCATATTTTTAAAAAAAAAAAATTATAATTTAAGCTCTATTTCCGTATGGAGCACTGTTTTTTAAAAATAAAAACAAAAATACTAAAGAACTCCGGATTATTTACCTAACGTGTTTCCTATTTTTCTATATATTTGCGCGCACAAACACACACACACATATATATATATATATATATATAAGGACACTGAGGTCAACACCGAGCGGCGACTGTTTCATCCTTGAACGACATCTTCATGGCCTGAAGATTGTGTTCAAGCATGAAACAGACTACCCGCCAATTGGTGTTGACCCCAATATCCACTTATATATTTACATACGCTCTATCCCTGATATTGAGCCCTTTTACCCATAAATATAGCATACCTAAAACTAGATTTTTATCATAGAAACTAGATATATTTTATATATATATATATATATATATATATATATATATATATATATATATATATATAATAGAGAGAGAATGCGTATTAATGTCTTACTATATGTGGATCTATGCATCTAAGCGTTATTTTTTTGCTTTTAAGATAACGTAATTTTATGCCAAAGAAAAGTGCCTTTGTGTGTTTCTGTTTGACCTAATGCAGCGTCTGCAAAGACTGGAGCTTTTATTATCTCCTCCGAAAGAAGAGCAACGTTTTCTGTAACCTTTTGAATATGCATACATTATGTAACCAGTGCACAAGACACTCAACTTAGGCACAAAAAAAAAAGCTCTAATTCAAAACCAACATCTACAAGCATGTCAGAGTTTAGGATATATATACAGTATACACAAATTGGACGATTTGATTTGGTTTGTTTAACGGCATATCAACTCTTTATGGCTCCTTTAATGCCGAAATGATATTTTCTTGTGATATAATAAATACCACATTGTATTTGGTTCACATTTTTATATAAATATTGTTAAAAAAAATATTGTAAATGTATAATCGAACAACTAAATATGTCTAATACGTTTTCCATTATTAAAATTCTGAACATAGCTTTTTACAACAATAGACATTGTCGAGAGCGTCTGCAGTGAACAAGGATATTTTTTCACTTGATTCCGTCATGAAAAAAATATATCAAAGGTTAAACCGAGTTTTTATTCCAGCTTTCACCGCTCCCCTTTTTATTTTCTCTCCCTTATTTTAAAATGCCATGTTCCTTTCAGGACGGACGTTATGATAGATTTTCATGGAGTCCTTGCCTTTTAATATCTGTGAATTATGAATTCTTGGCAAAATTGGTTTCTTGTTGCCTTCTCTACGGGTGCGAATTCGATAGGTCTTCTCTGAGTCGTAACAATTCCAGTTGTAGTTGTAGCCGTGGGTTTTATTGGAAAGGGTTCTTAAAGATTCATTGAAAGAGTCCCTAGCATTTCCCGTCTTAACGAAATACAAAACATTGTCACAAGTATAGCTCACACCCTACGAAAAGATTTATCGATGTAAAATGTTTTTAGATTGTTTTATTTATTTATTTATTTTACATAAATGCTCAGCTGAAATGTCTTGATGCCATGTCTGACCTTAGATCTCTGGTTGGGACCCGGAAGGAAATGCGTATACAACAGAAATGAAAGGAAATAATCTACTATCTATATTTCTCATGTTGTCTGTCTGTTGTGGGCGTTGTTACCTCGCCCAGGCCGCATTTCTCACCCGATTTCGATGCGGTTTTCAACACAAGTTTGCAAATGGCTGCCGTAAGGACATGACGGAGCCCGATTTTTGAGTTCGGAATCAGGTTCCGAAAAAATCAATAATCGAAAAAATTCTGCTTACAGAAGGAATGATCGCATTTCAACCAAATTTGACACCCTCTTATTAGAAGTGTTGTCCAGAAGTTTCATGACCACGGACCTCTAAGCAGCGCGGAAAATCGATAAAAACCCAAAAACCGATACGCCCAAATTGCGTCTGAACCGCATGTTGGTTTTTAGCGAAAACCGAGCGGCTTTATGAAAAGGCCATTGGGAGTCATCATGTGAAGTTTCAACTCTGAGCACCCCCCAAACAGAGTGCAAATCGACAATCGGTCAACCCTTAAAAATGTTTTTTCCGGTCTTTTAAAGCTGATCGTATTGTGTTTATTTTGTTTAGTTCTTTTTTCGTAACAGATTTAATGTTTACTATAGAGCTTAGAAAAAGTTGGCAGTGTGATATACGCAAGAAGTAAGGCATGTAACAATATCAGCACGGCAAAGGGCACTCCTCTAAAGGCAAGGAAGGGCAAAAATATTTTAAGTCAAGTGATAGCGATTGCTGTATTAGTCGTACTATTTTTGAATCAAGCACGGGCAACGCCGGGCCATGCTGCTAGTACACAATAATGGAATTATTGTAATAAATTGGCTGCGATAAAAGAATAGAAAATGTGACACTATTTAAGTAAAATGGTCCACTCATAAAAAATAGGTATTTCAAGAATTTCTTTAGGAAATGATTTTTTTATAAAATTAACATTTAGAAGAGGGTTCTGATTATAATATCGACACAGTGTCAAATCGATCCCTGACTTTTGCAGAATTATTGGTTTTAGATGTTTTGCGTTCGAAAACAGACTTTTTTTGAGGTGAGGTTGGAAAAACATTTCTTTTAAATAATGAACAAACGGAGATATATATATATATATATATATATATATATATATATATTAAGTAAAGGGCAATACTTTACATATAAAATTATGTATCCGTTTCTTCTTCATTTAAGATTAATAATTATGAACCCTGAGGAGACACGGTGGATTGTGGCTCGGATTGAGAAATCGGAGAGCCGAGTTCGAATTCCAGTCGAATCCATTACATTCACTTACGTGCTAATACCCTTGGGAAAGGTATGAATCCTCATCTTCTCCCCCCAGTAGTAGGACAAACCGGGATCTGTAGCCTTGGATGACAACTGGTCTACCTCGGAAAGAAATGGCAACCTACTGCGGGAAAAAATTGCCTGGTCAGTCATGTATCTTTCGATACATGATGGCCTAAGCGTGTATCACGCATGGCACATAACTGACTGAATTATGAACCCTGAGTTAATAACCTCGGATTTCCGAAATTGGATTGTACCCTGGTGTCGACTGAGCTACAACTGCTGCACACCCTCACTGTGTTCGGAAAGTAGTGTGAGGGAGCAAAAGAAACAAGTTTCCAACTTTAAAAATCTGAAGGTAGCAAAACACACTATACTACTAATGCAGGGTTAAATTCAAAGGTCTGTGAATTTGTGCTCCCCTCCTCACAAAAAAAAAAAAAAATAGAACTGCTCACATCAATGATGTGAGAAGATTTTCAAACTTCATTTTTGTAAATAACATGCCTATGGTCAATAACTCTATTCAGGGATTGATTTGACACTGTATCGATTAGTGGAAGAGACTCCCAACAGGATGTTTCTCCGATCACTACAATCTTAACATGTTCAAGGCTAGGGTTAACCGTTATCTTCCACTTCTATGCACACAAATGACCTCCAAACGTAACCATCTAACTCGAGTGACCCCGGGCCTTGTAAATGGTGAAACTTACTGTAAAAAAAAAAAGAAAAATACAGGACTCCCCTTGTCAATCGATAACACATTTTATTCTGACAAGTGTCGCGGACTAAGGAACGTCTTAATAATACTAATTTACATAAAATCATTTTCAAAAAAATGTTTCTCTATTTTTTTATGGGTGGGCCAGTTTATTTAAGCACTGCCATTATTGT